ACTGCTTTTCAATGCTTTTGCTTATATAGGTAGGTCTCGTTATCTCTTCTTGTGACTCTGACCCATATCCTGTTATTTCTTAAACTGGGTCAAGTGTAATTCTGTTTTTTTTTTTCTTTTCTGAGCGTAGTTGGCAACCCAGACACGTAGGTGGGAGCAACACAATCATATTTACTGTTTGTAATTTTTGTGGGAGCCCAGCGTGATTGGGCAGAATCTGCGTTGTTCTTTTGTCCATTTCAGCTTTTCTATGCTAGCTTTCACCCCCTCTTTTCTGCTCCCTGCCCTACATGGGGAAGCCAGGGCCTTGGCGCAGTCTCTTCTGTTCTCTCAAAACATATGTGGGCTCTGTCCCCAGGGCATGACCTAGTTTCCAGGAAGGATTGCTGCTCTGGAAACTTGGGCTGCCATGAGATTGAGCAATGTGTTTGCTCCCCATTGGGCACAACATGGTGGCCTGGGTCACCCAGAGGCTTAGCTGGTGGAGGCAGCTTCCATCAGTCTGAGGCAGAGTACGTTCTGGGAGAGTCTGAGAAGGTCTACACAGGATACTGAGTCTCCTGATGACACACGCTTCCGAGCTGTGGACCCTGCGCCCAAGTGCTTGGTGGAACGAATGGCTGAGCTAGCCAATAAAGGAGTGGTTCCTAGCCCCCCAGGGAGAGGGTGCTTGGGGCTGCGCCTGCAGCTTTGCTGGCCACCCCAGCTCTCATCATTCCTTCCTCTTAAAAAAAAAAGGATACATTTTGTCCATAAACTTCCTTCGGAGCTTACATCAAAGTGCCTCATGTGTTCTTTTAAAAGTGGCGAAGGCAAAATCCATGTTACTTATTATTCTCTCCATCAAACTCCACAGCAAGTACCTTGAGCTCTACATTCATTCTTTCATATCCTAAATGTACCAACTAGTGACACATTGTCTGGCTCAGGGTTTTGCATCCGGGAAAAATTCGTCGAGTAGACTGAGCTGCACTCAGAGAAAAGACCATGACTTGCCTTCTCTTCCAGCTTTTCTCAGTATCCAGGTTCCTGCCTGTCTTTTCATGGCTTAACTTAGAGAGGTCCATGAACTTGGATGAGAAAACACTGTATATTTATTTCTCACACAACTAACTAAAATTTAGCATTCCCTTCAATTATGAAGGTAACAAACCACAACAGTATTAGCAATACCTGAAGCTTTGTCACCAACTGGAATCAGAGGTGATTTTATATCACATTACAGTTACTGCAAATACTTGCATGTGGCGTGTATGCTCGGCAGCACTTTGAAATGAATGTAGTTAGACTTGTTGATAGATCTTGCTATTTAGTACATTAATAAAAATATAGTACTATATAAAAATCTATATGTTTTACATCTTTATAACTGTATTTCAATGTAAGTTGTTTCTTTTGTAATCCTATGTATTTTATTTTATGCCTTTAAAAATATAGGCTTCACCGGACTGTGAAAGGGGTCCACAGCACACAAGATCAAGACCCCTGGTTACACCGTGCTTTCTGGGTTCTTGATTTTTGGTAGGTGTCCAGCGGGGCTAGGTGCTATCAGAGCAGGTTGGGAGAACGGGAGCACGGACTGAAGCCTTTTAAGTTTCAGAAAAGCCTCTAATGATGCGAAGTGAGATGCTGCCCACTAGTGGTTGGAAGGCAGAACTATGAGACTGTTAAACGCAGGCCCTTGGATAGCAGGTTAGGGTTGTGGGTGAAGTTTCTTGGTACTTGTGTCTGAAATAAAAGAATCAAGGCAATACGTGTTTTTGCCCCTGCCGACAGCTCCAGCCTCATAGCTTGCAAATATCTTCTTCATTCTCTGTGCTTCAGCCATTTTTGCTGTCTTTCAGCCTCTCAAAGCTTCCTCCTGCATTAGGGTGTTTATACATGCTGTTATCTCTGCTGGACTGCCCGCTCCCATCTCCTCATCTGGATAACTTCACTCTGCCTCCATATCTGAGTTTCTAGCCCAAACCTCCAGTCTAGGTCAGGCTCCATGATAATCCTGTGTAGACCTGTGCTCCTGTCTCCTTCACAGCTCCTCCTCAGTTTGTTAACTACACAATCCCTGCGGTGATGTTTTTGTTCATTGTTTATCACTGGACCAGACTGTAAACCCCATAGGGTGGGGCTGTTGGCTTTTGTTCTCTGCAGTATCCCCAGTGCCTGCCCAAGGACACTCAGTAAACACTTATTGATGAAGAGTGAACTTGAATTGGAAAATTCATAAAGAGACTGCGAATGCTAACAGAATGGATTTAGGTCCACAAAAAATAAAGTCAGATGGTTTCCCTCCACCTAATGACACCCCATCCACCACCAAGCCTCTCCACATTCCTAGTGGTCCTGCTTTTACCAGTAACACAGCGCTATCCATGTTTGCACAGTAGAAACAGTATAGCAAGATTGACAGGCCAGGGAGACAGGTGGCCTGGGGTCAGATCCTGGCCTTGGTGCCTCCTTCCTGAGTGACCTCAGCCTTTTTGTACTTCAGTTCCCTCTTCTGTAAAATAGTGAAAATACCAGTACCTCTGACATAGAATAGTTAGGAATGCTAATGAAGTGACATAAGGAAAGCACCTAACACATAATAAGTACTGATCAAATGGTACCTAAAGGGAAAGAGCCAACCGAGCCTGATGGGCAGTCAGTCCACCCTCACTATGTTCTTGAGCGGCACTGGATTTAGAAAGGAGGGCTCCAGCTCGTCCCCCTGCGCTATCTTGGTTGGGATGTTCATGGGAGTTGCTAAGGAGCAAAATTAAAATGACAGGATTCTTTCTTTTAGCTTGGCTGGACCCCTGCCTATATGGCCATGTCTCCTTCACGATGTACTGAACATGCTGTCTTTGCAGAGAGGACTTTAGTCATGATTTCCTTCTGATCTTTTACACACTCACATTCCCACTTAGCTCTTGCTCCAGAGATTTGTAATCAAATTAGTTTATCCTGGCTTCAGATGGAGTTATAACATTTGTAACATACTTGGCACAGAATTTCATAGAATATATTAGTGCTCAATAAGTATGTTATTTCTCTATTAGAAAATAGTGGATTGTCCCGAAAGAGCAAGCGTAGGCTGCCCTCTTAACTTCTATAATGCTTGTTAAGCACCTAACACAAAATCTAGCACTTAAATGCTTTCAAGAAATGTGCATGGAGAGGATGAATGAAAGACGGGATGGACTCTGAATGCTTATTTTCCTTTTCCAGGCCCAACTGGGCTTTGCAGAGCCCAGCTGCCGCCAGTTCTGCACAGTTGCCACTAGAGAGCAGGAGAGGTTAAGACAATAATACTGAGGACAAGCCAGACTCAGAATTACTGGTTTGACAAGGGAGGATGGTGGAAGGAGAAAAATGTTAAAATGTTGAAAAAACACAGTTGTTCTTTATCTCTTGGGGACCAAATGGAAGGAAATGTGTACCTAGAGGGATGGAAGCTAGACTTAAAGAATAACTTCCAATGTACAAAGTATGCTAACTAGAGCTTTTATCCAGGCGATTTTTAAAAACCCCTTAGCTGTTGTACATCTGCCCAAGCAGAATAGATGAGAAAGTGGGCTTTTCCTGCCTGAGGACTCCACTAGGTCCTCTTAAAGTAATCCTTCTGTGTCAGCCTTCAATGACTCCATTCTTGCAGATGCAATTGTAAAATAACTTTATTGGTCAGGTTAACCACCAATCATGCTTTTCCTGTAATAAGGATCCTTTATAGAGGCATGATGGTGTTCACATGCAGATGCTTTCTGAAGAGCCCTGGGGCGGGGGCAGCCGTCCCCTCACATCAGAGCTCCTTTGTTGAAATGAGATGGTTTGGCTTTTATGGATTTCAGGGTCTAGAGCCAAGAACATAGTCCAAGGACCCCCACCCTCACCCCCCAACTCCCACTTCTTGAGGAAGCCACTTCAAAGCACGCAGTATTAGGGACATAATGGCATCTGGGCAGGGGCCAGGCTAGGGCTAGCTGCCCAGATGGCTCCATCCCCATGGTGCCCTAAAGAAAAGGAGGGTTAGGCCCCAGGCAACATTACCTTTCAGAAATGGAAGAATTTAATGCTCACCAGCTAAGCTATAAAGCGACAGGCATCTTCAGTAATGAGGGTGTAGCTCAGAGATGCGGAAGCAGGTTTTATGCTCAGCACAGGCAAGAGTTGGGTGCCTCACCTGGGCTTCACGGACCCAGTGAGCTTCTCCAGCCAGACTGGTACTATTAACTGTGGCCCTGGGACAAATCAATACAGACGAAACACAGCCTCCTCCTTTGGGCTAGCAGGTAAGTCCAGGGCAGGATGCAGACCTTCGTGCAAGGATAAGAGGAGAGGACAAACTACTGTTCTCATGCTTTGAGAACCACATGGTGTCCACCTTTAAGGATAAAGACCCAAGTAGGGAGCTGTTGGCAATGCGGAGAGTGCTGGGCAAGAGTGGATCTACTGGGGCTGCCTCCTCAGTCCAGTCGATTTGGTCTGACCTTTCCTCTTTTGAAATCTGATTTACCTTCAAAGAGCTGCCTGACTGCTGAAGTATAGCCCCATGTATTTATCAAAGCCCCAAGTTGGTTGTCTCCTCCCACATCATGCCCTGAATATTGTCATCATACTGGTGATCACTAATCTGGTGGCTTTCACGGTGTGAGGCTAGGGAGTTGCAGAGGTGATGCTGGGTGTCCTTCCAACCTCAGATACAAATGTGGGTTCTCTGCACAGGCAGATGCCCGCATGCCTTGGGGTCTTTTGCCTCTGTCTAAAGGCATAGAAGAGATGTCTGTGGAGCAAGTTGAATGGATGAGGTGGAGCTAGGAGGAGGCATTTGGGCAAGAGGTATATTCTGAGGAGCAGCGAGTGCAAGCCCAGAGGAACTGCATGACCAGACAGACGTGTGGGAGAGCTGTCAAGCGCTGCTCAGAGAGTCAGGGATTGTTGGAAAAGTAGGTTATGTACAATAGTATGCTCAAGCAACTTTTCAAGTTCACAACACTAGATTATCAGGAAGCATTTTAGGGTAGTAAGGTGTCTGACATTGGGACTGTCAGGGATTACTCCCTCTGCCGCCACTTCGGTCCTGGAAAAGAGAGTTTGGGCCATGTCCTTCAGCAGAAGGCTGCCTGTCCCCTCATCCCACTTGACCCTGACTATAGGGAAGAAGACTACAGGGGAGCCCATGGAGTTCTGTCACGTGGTCTGTCTTAGACCTTCCAGCAAAAGCCAAACCAAATCATCAAGCCAAATGCAGCGGGGCGTGAGGCTCTAGGCCCCGAGCCCAGTGCGAGGCCCGCTCAGATCTCGATGAGGCTGGCCAGGCGCAGGCAGAGGGGCGCGTCCACAGGCATTGCGTTGCGCTGGATCTCGTTCCCGTCCAGACGCAGCACCTGCAGCTTCGAGAAGTTCATGAGGTCCACCACGGTGCAGAAGCTGCTGATGGAAAACTCTGTGGGAACAAGAGGGACGTGGGTGGGTGAGGCAAGGCCGGATCACAGACCCAGATCCACAGCGAGGCCAGATAGCCTCTGTGCAGCGGCCTAAATAGCTTGATGAGAGGGCAGGAACTTGGCTGGGTGGGGCAAGCATTTTCTAGGATCGGAGTCATATCGACTCGCGCCACTAGGGGGCGGAACAAAGCAATAGAGTGGGGCCTCTGCCGTGTCTGCTACTCCATCTCTTACCACGCCCAGCCTGGACAGAACTCTAGATCCTGGAGCGTCCTTGAGTGTCCTTCCAGCCAGAGCCTGATCTCTTCCCTTTGTGTGCAGCAGGGGGAAGCAGAAGGTAATCAAAGACCGACCCTTGCAGCTTGGAAGCACTTGATTGCTTTTGGAGAGGGAGGGCTTTGCTGAATTGTTTTGAGAAGGAAGACGAGGAAATGGAGGAACTTAAATCTGGAATATCTTCTGCCGCTTTTCAGATAGAGAAAGTGGCAGGAAATTAAAGTGAGAACGCCTGAGCAGAGAGACAAGTGTCTCTGCATGCCAGAGCTTTGAGGGGGTTGCACATCTCTATTTCGAGTACTACCAGAGTGAGTAAGGCTCTGAGGTTCAAGGAGAAGGAAATTCACAGATGAATGGGGCTGCGATGGACCTCAAAAGTCAGATACATATTTCCCCGTCTCCTGCATCTTATATGATTACAGTTTACCCTTAAAAAAAAATCTCTAAAGAATCCCTCCCTTTTGAAGCTTCCCCTTCTGCAAACCTTGCAACCCTAATAGGTACTATAGTTCTGTTTGGTTTTAATGTAAATCCTTCTGCTGACTTTTACTCTCTTCTCCCTCTGGTTGTCCCCTTAGATAAATCAACCACCTCTTGAGCCTGCTGGGTCAGGAACTTGACAGGATAAAACCAATAACTTAGTTAAAACTCCAGCAAGGACGACAAAAGTCACCACAGAAAAGCTCTGAGGCCTCTTCGGCTCTTTCAACGTGGTGCATGAGAGCTTCAGAAAGATTTCTCATGTGAGTGACAGTCTCTGTTGGGTCTTAAGGGTAGGATCGCGGTACACCTGGGTGGTTTGTAACATGCGGGCAGACCCAGAGCAGGGCTTGCTTTTGCGCCCATCAGAGATGCTTATCAGCTTGCCATGGTCAGGAGCTGGGCAGCAGGAATGGGAGGAAGGCTTTCTGACTCTCTCCCCAAGGGGCAACTGTGGAGGGCTTTGTGGAGGGTTTTGTGGAGGGAGAGGTTATAGGGGGTGAAAATGAAGGTTGCAAAGAAAAACAGTATAAAGAGCTTAAACAGGCTGATGAAGTTGTTTTTAAATTAGCACTACCGATTGTTTCCAATCTCTGTTGAGAACTGACCAAGAGGAGATGGGGTGAGGCTGCAGCCAATTAATTTGTACTGCAAATGTAAGATAGAAAATCCAGCCCCAAAGAATAATGAGACGCTGGGAAGAGTGGGGAGATGAGAGATACGCTGCTTTGGATACTACTGGTGGTGGCGGGGAAGGGGTGTGAGAGAAAATCTGAAGTGCTTTTGGATGTTTCCTTTCTGGTTTCAGGGGATAGATCAGTTGGGCTCTGAGTGAGCAGGTTGGGGGCAGAGTGAAGCCCAGGGGCTGAGTCTATGGTGTTTGCATAGAAGAGGTTGAGTGGGGTGGACTGGGGAGAAGTAAAGTGGCCCAGCTTAAGTATCATTCCCACCCTGTTTGGGATTGTGCTAGGGATCCTGTGGTAGATTCTCTACCCCTGCCTGGAGCCCTCAGGCTGTCTGCTCAAATCCTGGGTTCCAACTCTGCATATGTAAATATAGGAGTACTTGGGGGCTGCTGGACACACAGTGTGTAGATTCTATCCACACATTGGGCACTGTGAGCTCCCCTGTGTGTCTTCCCCAAGCTCATGAATAGACAGGGCTTCTGCTTGGAGACTCTGAGGACACTTTCCAGCCCAGATTAAATACTGACATAAGTCTTTCCAAATTCCTCCTGGTATACCCGCCCTGCTCCACTGGATCCCAAAGCTACTGAATAACATTCCGAGCTGTGTTCCCTGGCTGTTGCCAGGCTGGAAAAACTGAGGGATATAGTCATGGAAGAAAGAAGGGGAGGGAGAGGACGGGCCTTTCCCCCTGAACACCCTTTCATTCCTGTGCTTCTTTTGGCTCCTTTCTGAGAGGGTTGCTTCAATCCCACCTTCACCCCCACCCCCACCTCAGTCCTTGACAGGCTGTGCAGGGAGACCTCCCTCTCATTTGCCCTGGGAGAGGGGCTGAGCTTGGGCAGCTGTCTTCCCTGCTGGTGGTCTGAATCAGAGAGATACTTATGTTCTCACCCAGAGATGCCAGCTCTATGTCCTTGGATATTGAAAGCAGGGGTTCAGTGTGCTGTACTACATAGTCTGGGTGACCTGGAGAGACAGCTTTCCTTCTGTGTGTCTCAGTTTCCCCATCTTTGCAATGCAAAACGTAAAATAAAGCTATGTTTGTCAACTTCAAAGTGACAATAAGAAGAAAAGCTAATAATAATAGTAATCATGTATTGCTTTTTCAGTTATATGCCAGGACCTGGACCAAATACTTTCCATGTATTAATTTGCTAATTAAGATAAATAAGTAATTGGTGTTATTTTGCCTAAAGAGAAGTCTAGAAGAGAGACCGATAACTAGATAAAGAGGATTTGGCTTAAATTGCACAAGAAGGTATTGGGGTAGACACTGAAAATTTTAAGGGAGAACTTTCTTGCAAGACCTTGTGACACTTTACTGTAGCAGTTCTATCTTCGGCAGAGCTTTTGGAAAGGGTGGACCACCTCATATTTGAACTGCAGGTGTGGTTCTGCATGAAGGCCGAGTGGTGACAGGTGCTGTGATGGAGCCATTCCCACCCCAAGTTTCTCTGATTATATAGTTAGGCAGTAACTAATGGGTTCTTTTCCATGACAGCTGCTCTTTGCTGTCACATTTTCAGGGTCAAGCTCTGACGAAGCACAGCATACAACATGACATTTCTGATGTGACAATCCTCCTGGATTCAGAGTGGGTGGCATGTAAGTAGTGATGACTTCTGGTGGAATGATGGACAGCTATGGGCAAATATCAAACCTTTTGTGGCATGCAACATCTTAGAGAACTACCTCCTTCAGAATAAGAAAATCCCCAAAGGAAGAGAGACTTTAAAGGCAAAATAGTTTGCACTGTACATGATGGTGTCTTGCACTTCAAACAAGAGGACCAGACACCTCTTCACCTTTCTTGCCCCACTGTCAGCCTTGGGGACTGGTGCCTCTCTCATTCAGAGGGCTGTCCAGCTTATTAACATTTTGCCAAGTGACTGATCTGTTCCCTGAGTGCAGGGGGAAAAAGGATGGAGAGGGACAGGGTGATGACTCAGTCCCTATCAGTGTTGTGCTGTTTGCTGTCAGTAAGCTCCACTTCAGAGCCCTTTGTCAGTGGTCATTAATGAGTCCTTCTTTCCCCAGGGAGAGGGGGACTTTGCTGACAGGGGAAGTGAGGTTAAATGCTGACTCAGGACCTTTCAGCTGGGATTAAGATATCAGAGGCCCTGGAGTAATGTAGGCACATTCTAAACACAAGATTCTGAGCAGGAACAGAAAAGCAACTAGGTAATCCAATCTGAAATGAATATTTTAGTTCTTAGAGGCAGAGAGGCAGCTCTTTTGGTTCCTTTAGGCATCTGCAGGGAAGTGCTTAGAAAACAAGAATCCCAGTGTCCTTGCCCACCATTCCAGGGCTTTGTGGTAGTCAGGTTCATGTTACCCTAGGGGGACCTCTGCCCTGCCTCCAGGAGCTCCTTGCACTCCAGGGAGACCTGACCAGAACAAGTACCGCATTCAGCTCTGAGAGGCTTCGCATTCTTGTCCACCAGCTGTTATGTTTGAAAAATAAACACCCAAACACAAGACCAGGCTGTAGAGGCCGGAGTAGATCATGTGGAAACAGAGTGCATCCTCTTCTCGGTCAGTGAGTAGGTACAGATGCCACGGTTTCTTAGCCCACCTTCCTCCTAGGATGGACCCTAGAAGTTCAACTGAAATCTCCGCCTCGATAAACTGCCCCTTCCCAAACCTTTCCAAACTCATCTCTCATTGCTCCTCAATACGTAACCCCTTCCTCTCAGACACATGAATTTCCTGGCTGTCCCCTACAGGTGACCTGTTCAATGACTGGTTCCTTTGTTTGTGACAATTCCTATTCCCAGAGTGGCTCTATCCTGAGTTCCTCCAGCCCATGCCCATGTATCTCTCAAGACCCAGATTGAAACTTACCTCTTCTGGGAAGTCTTCTTCCATTCCAACCCACTCCCCACTAAATGTTCTTAGCACTGCCATTTAGTGTAAGTGTAAGGCTTTCGTTCTCAGGTTGCTTCATCTGTGCTCTTTGGTGACCCTGCTGCTATTTGCTATTGCCACTAGCGCTCAGAATAGGGTCTTTCCAATGAAACAGACAGCCACTCCCCCATGCCCCTCTGCCAAGGTCTCACCATTAATCCTATTGCCTTGGAGGTAGAGGTTCTCCAGATTGGTGTTGACTGGGGGGATCTTCTGCAGCTGGTTGTAGGAGAGGTCCAGCTCAAGGAGGCTGCTGGAATTGAAGGTGTTGGAGGCCAGGCCATTGTTGGTGAGACTGTTGTGGGACAGCCGCACGTACAGCAGCTTGGGTGACCCCCGGAAGTAGCTGTCAGGGACGGAGTAGACGTTGTTGTGCTCCAGGTACAGCTGCTCAAGGGCTGAGGGCAGTCCATCAGGCACCCTCCGAAGGTGGTTGTAACTCAGGTCCAGCAAGATCAATGACCGGAGGCCCCTCATCGCACTGCCCACTTCCTGGATCTCGTTGTGTTGGAGATACAAGGCTGTGAGGTTCTCCAGCCCCTCCAGAGCATTATTGGGGACCCGTGAGATCTGATTGTGGTCGAGATGGAGCTCCCGCAGGGATCGAGGCAGCGGGCCGGGCATCCGGGTCAGGTTGTTGTGGTCCAGGTACAGCCTCTCCAGGTGCCTCAGCTTAGAGAAAACCTTCCTGCCCACTTTATCACTGGTGATCTGGTTGCCATGGAGAGCAATCCAGAGCAGCCCAGTGGCATTGTCGAAGACGCCTTCCTGAATGGAGGAGATCTGGTTGTTCTGGAAGTAGACATACTTCATGCGGGAGGGGACGAAAGGCAGGTACTTGAGGTTGCGGTTGTCACAGTACATGGCCGTGGGGAAGGTGGGTGGGCAGTCGCACTCTTGGGGGCAGTCTCGGGGATCTGGTGGGGGTGGAGAGCCATAGGCATAGGCTGGACCTTCCTCCACACCGTAAGGGTAAGGCTCATAGGGCTCATAAGGGTAAGGCTCATAAGGATCGTAGTAGGTGGACTGCTGGCTGCGGAGGTAGTGGAACCACCAATGGGGATCTTCGTCATACTGGGCCTGGGAGAGGGAGCAGAGCCCTGCCAGCAGCAAGATGGAGGCCCACTGCATTTTGTCTCTCTGCAAGAAGGGAGAGAGAACAGGGCAAGCAGGCATGAGTGAGACTCTAGGGAGGCAGAGTGGGTGAGCCTTAAGCTTTGAGCTGTGCAGATCTGACTTAGCACCAGACATCTGCGAGCAGGAGCCTTGCTCTCATTCCCTCCATGCCTCGTCCCGGGGCTGGCTCTGGACACTCAGTCTAGGTGGACCTTGGCTATGTGAGGGGAGCTAGGCACACTTTCCCCTGGTCATAGAGTCACAGCAGCAGTCTTTGAGATTAGAAGGAACTGGAATGGGGGGGGCACTGCATTTTTTGGAGGGGCAGGTCCCTTGGAGCTTCTAGCAACCTGAAGGTTCTGTTGGGGCAGCTGGAGAGCCCATTAGCAATCCCTATCGGGTAGAGGTGAGGTGCTCTTCAGGCCAGAATTCATGTCCCAGGTGGGACTTCCCAGGCAAATAATATTTTCCAAGAGTCCAAGGAAAAAGCCCTGTAGCTCTTTCCATGTCTCTGGGAAACATCCAGAAGTGGCTTGAGACCGCAAAGGGGAAGATCTGAACTACTTCTTTACGATCTTTTGGTCTTTTGGGCAGGCTTAGAGTTTCTGGTTTTGAGTCTTTGGGGAGGGGTGTGGTCCCTCTGCAGCCACCATGAGACTTGGGCTACCCTCCAAAGTGCCAGCGTCTAGAACAGTCTGCTGGGTGAGAAATCTCTCAGGTTAGCAGTTTGTGAATACACATGAACTTGGCAGGCACGTGGTTTTCATATAACAGTTACAGATGCCCTCCAGACTGGGGACACTGGCACCCAGGTATGGCACTTGTCTTCTAGAGTGGTTGAATGCATGCAGTCTGAGTCAGTCCGCTTGGCTGTCCTCTCTGGTGTCTAGTAAAGTGTTAGCACTCTTCATCGCCACTGTGGACAGTATGCAGGAGCCACGTGGGACCAAGAGAAATGAATGAGGAACGCTAAGAAAGGGAATAGGAATGGAAGATTCTCATGTATGCCCGAGGGAATGTGGCTTTAGAATGGGATTCTGGCACCCTCCCCGCCACCCCCAACATCCCAAGCTACCTGTGGTGACATCTAGATTACCAGCCTCCATATCAAGGCCCCCACACTGCCATCGGCCTGTTGCCTTTGAGCGTACATGCCAGTGAGATGAGAATAGGCAGGCGTGAAGAGAAATGTGGGCTTGGTATCATCTGAGAGGGAATCTGAAGGTACGGAAGATGAGGGATGGAAGATGGCTTATCAGGCTTGGGCACCCAGCTTTGAATATCTATAGCCAATGGACTGCACAGCCCCTATGAGCAGTGAGCAAAGGCGTGAGTGTCACCCTTGGACAGGGAAACTTTAGAACCTTTCTTGGTCTAGAAAAGTCACATATTTCCCTCATGTTGCCGTTTGGCCTTGCTGGGGCTGGTAGCTGTGAATAGGAGAAAGAGAGGAGTCTAAAAGCCAGCATCAAATCCAATGAACTGATGGAAAGGTCCCTGATTGTGACAATCTAGTCACTTTCTGGCCACCACTCCTCCAGATCTCCCGGTCCCCTGAAAGTGGTTCTCTTAGGCCTGCTTCATCCCATCAGCCACTGGGCCCCAGAGGAGAGACACCCTGGCTCATTCTCAGGCAGCCCGAGGCTTCAGACAAAGAGACTACAGTATTTCTGAGAAGCAGACCCAATCGCCCACTGCATGGGCACACTGGTTGGGCCCTGGCTCTGGCCAGGAGAGAAGACTGATGGAGCGGCCCACTGCCAACAGAGCATTTTTGCATGCATAGCCCTGGGCTGCTACAGGACCACGGTGGCTGTCTGGAGGCTGGCACAGTGAACCTCTGTCTCTATGTCTCCTTCCAGACTGGGCACCTTGGCAGACAAGAGCCACCTTCCTCTTTAAGACTCAGCTTTCCAGGGGCTGTGCACCCTGCCCACTTTGGCCTCTCCTTCAGAGCCCTGACTGCTGACAGGGCTTGGTGGGGACCTTATATGCCTCTCCTTCCCCCACCCCCGTCTCTTTGCAATGTTCTAGGGTTGTCTATTCTTAAATTACCCCCTAATGCTAGAGACTCTCCTATGCTCAGAGTTCTGTATGGTGGAAAGTTTCTAGGACTGGGACTCTAAGTTGGGGAGAGCTTACTCTTACTCAGGAGTAATTACTGTTCTTTCATTTCTCCACTTCTAGAGAGCCATCTCTCCCTCCTATCAGAGTCGAGGAGGTCATACCAGAAGCCACCCCCACCCTGGACTAGACCCCTGCTTCACAGCTCCCTGGACATGGTCAACTCTCAACACTTCTTATTCTCTCCCTTTCACCCCAGCCCCCTCCCCCACCTCCCCTCCCTGACTCAGACACAGTACACAAAACTACCCCCCTCGGATAGCAGTGTTTAGGTCCCACAACCCCTCTATACGAGACACTACAAGGACACAGGGCTAGGATGGTGGCATTTATGAGTAGTAGTAGGGCAGAGCTGGCTCCCCTAGTACCTGGTCCTTCGCTTTTTCATGCCTGAGAATCGAAGATCCCCCCAACAACCAGAAAAGGAGCTGCAGGACAAAGGGAGCATGTTAGAGCCCCTTCTTTCTATACCCCCTTTGCCCTCTCCAGCATCCTGGGGTCATGGCCCAGAGAGGGAGAGTGAGGAGTGACTCCTCCCTGCCGCCCTCTCCCTACTCCCTAGCCCCTTTCCTTCATTTTCTTTATGGGACTACAAGGCACAAAAACTGAAGTAAAATGACTACACTTACCTGGAGTTGAACCTTTCAGAGAGTGACCGTGTCCCTGTGTCTGGCCTCCTGGGGTTGAAGAAAGTGTGTGTGAGAGAGAGCAGGAGTGAGAGTGTCTACCGAGAGTGTCGGTGTCTGTGCCAGGCCAGGGGCCCGCCCCCAAATTCCTAATCAAATATTGTGAAGAGAGGGGCTGAGACTCCCGGATTCTGGCTTCTTCGGCTCTGCTGCAGGGGCGGAGCTCACACTCAACCGCGCAAAATCCCTCTGTGAGCCTGACGCTATAAAAACCACCTTCTTTCCACTCACTATCTCCCCTGAAGCATTGGCAGCTCTGGGGCGCTTTCTGCTGAATGACTTAGTGGCGCCCTAGAAGTTATTTGTACAGGCTCACGAAGTGCCTGGATTTCTCGTTAAACCCACAAGAGCAGATGCCGGGATAGGGAGGGCCAGGGCTGGGTAAGAGGCATCTTGATTAACTCTTTCAGCTACCCCTGTGCCCCCCACCTTGTGCTGTTCTTGCTCAAGCGCCTCCCACTGCCTGGTGTTTCGGCTAGTGGCTAAGAGAGAGGGACAGCTGGCTCTGGCTCTAGTTCTCTCCCTGACCAGGGTAGACTTGCCTGGAGTACAGGGTTTCTCTCCCTGCCATTGGAGCAAGTGGAAAGGAACGGAATCCAACATTTGTTGGTCACTTGCTGTGCACCAGCATCATACACTTTCATTTAATCTTCACAGCTATCTTAGGGTTTCTAATACCAGGTTGGGTTAAAGCAGGACTCTATGAGGTGCTGTGTGTGAGATGCCTGGCCTAGAACATGGCTGATGCTCACTATGTGGGAGAGATGATTGCTGCTGAACCCACTTTACAGTGTGGACCCCCTGAACAAGGGGAAAATGAGGTCGGAGTAGTAAGCAGGAGCTAGACCAGGAAGGAACTTTTAGGCCATGGAATGGATTGAGTTTTTAATTCTAAATGTTTAAAAGACAACATGTTTTAGCAGGAAAAGCAACAGGATCTGATTCACATTTCTAAAGGCACGTGGGAGAAATGGAGAAACGGAGCCAGGGTGGGAGCTGGAGGCACCAGCCCCGCCTCATTGAGAAATGATGGCAGACTGGCCTAGTGCAGTGGAAGAGGGCTGATGTATTTTTAGACAGGCAACTGACAAGCCCCGAAGATGGAGCAGATATGGGGAGTTAGGGAAGTCAAGATTGAGCCCTAGATTTTTAGTTTGAGCAACTGGATGGGTGGTAGCTCCATTTTCTGACATTGGAAAGATGGGGAGAGACAGAGTTGGGTGGAAAACCAAAGTATGCTTTGGATGTGCTAAGTTCGAGATGCTTGTTAGGTATTCTAGTGGAGATGCACACAGTTAAGTGTATGAGTCAGAATTTGGAGTTCGGGGGCTGGAAGAAAACATTTGGGAACCTTAGAATTTAGATCACATAGAATCCCAGTAGCTTAGATTAATTCATGTGTCCTACATGCTGTCTCCTCAACTGATGTCCTCATGCTAACCTCGAAGAAACACTTATTTATTTGTTGTTTTTAGTTTTAATTGTGGTAAATTCCATATAACAAAATTTACCATCTTATCGTTTTTATGTGTACAGTTCAGAAGTGTTGAGTATATTCACATTGTTGTGCAACCAGTTGCCAGAACTTTTTCATCTTTCAGATCTGAAACTCTATATTCATTAAACAAAAATTACCCATTTTACACATACCCTCCCACCTCCAGCCCCTAGGAACCTCCATTTTATTTTCTGTTTCTGTGAATTTGACTAATTTAGATACCTCATATAGGTGGAATCATACAGTAGCTGTCTTTTTTGCCTGACTTACTTCACTTAGCATAATTCTCTCAAGTTTCATCCATGTTGTAGCATGTATAAGAATTTTCTTCCTACACTATTCTATGGTATAAATATACCACATTTTGTTTATTAATTTATCCATCAATGGACATTTGGGTTGCTTTTACCTCTTTGCTATTGTGAATAATGTTGCTATGAACATGGGTATACATACAAATATTTCTTTGAGACCCTGCTTTTAATTATTTTGGATATATGTTCAGAAGTGGAATTGCTCAATCAAATGGCAATTCTATTTTTTTCTTATCGATCCTCACATATTATTTTTATTTTCTAATTTAGTTTCAGATGTACAAAACAATGTAATAGTTATACATTTACATCCTTCACAAAGTGATAACCCCCCCAATCTACTACCCCCCGACACTGAATATAGCTGTTACAATTCTGTTGACAATATTCCCTATGTTGCACTCCACCTCCTGTGACTATGCAA